CTCTCCCATTGATTGATGCACCATCGCAATGTTGCTGTATGTAGTTGCCTGATCGGAATAATTGGGTGAAAGAGATTTCTGAAAAGTTTCAAGTGCCTTCTCATAATATGCGAGTGCTGTTGGGTATTCTCCCAGTGAACTATACACAGAACCAATATTATTGTAGGTGGGAGCTAAATCGGAGTGATCGGATGATAGAAATTTCTGTTCAATGTCAAGTGCTTTTTCATAAAATACGAGTGCGTTGGCTAAATCGCCTGTCTCACATTTCACGAAGCCTAGCTGATGATTCATTTCAGCAAGCTGTTGTTGGTTGTCGTCAGTGGTTGTATTAAGTAATGCTTTCAAAATTTTTTCGGCTTTGTCATACTGACCCATGTAAATCATTAACTCTGCTATACGATATGTCGCTATTCCGCCTTCGAGCTTCTCACGCCAATAGTCCGTAAGACGTTTCAGTAGTTGATCGTTGTCAGTTGTCAACTTTAGATTAATTTTCCACAGCCTATCTTCAGTCTGTTCTATCTCACCGATACGAAAGACAGTGTGCATAGAAAAGAGAATTTCGTTCTCTGTTGCTCCGTAATAGCTTACGTCGTCTGTTGCAGCGAATGGTGTTGATGATATTTTAGGATCGATTTCTATGTGGAATAAAATTCCAATTAAATCGAAGTTTTGTTTAGCAGCATTTGCATAAAGATAACCGACGTCGTAATTTGTACTCGTCGACAGAAAACTGTTGAACGAGACAAGACCTCCTTTGCTACACATTAATTTCTCAAACTCCCCCTGCATCATACCTTGTCCTCGAAAAACGGTCATGTGAGAATCATTGTCCGCTTCCATATGTAATTGTTCAATTTGCCTATGAAGATCTCGAAGAAAGAAACCCATCTTGATCAGAACTTCCGTATCTTGAGTTCTTAAAGCTTTATTCAGCATCCAATAAGTAAAACATTCCCGAGTATACCACCAGATAGGTGACGGATGAGGATATTGTTCTTCGAATTTATCGATTATTCTCATTTGACTGTCATTGCCAGCATATTGCATGCGACAAAACTCCATAAATTCTTTTTTCGCTTCGTCGTCGTACGACTTATCAAGGAGAATTTCTTTTAATAGCTGAGAATACATAAACGATTGATTAAGCTCATCAAGATTAGTCGACGACGGTTGCGTAATAATACTAATTGGTGCTGCACTACGATCCAACTGACGTATACGTTGTCTTACTGCGTCGGAAAGAAGTTCAATTTCAGTGAACACTCCCTTCATCTTTTTGAATTGTTTGACCGATGCTTTCTGTTCGAACTTATGACGATCAAGCATATAGATAGAATCAAGTTGGTCTATGTCTTGAATGAGTGAAATGAGTTGTTGTCCAAGTTCATCTGAAATGATCATGACGACCTTTTCATCCTCAATGTCAGTGACAAAATCAAGACATTGATCGGGATCGCTAAATGTTTTGAAATAATGGGCAATGTTTTGAAAATAAATAAAAGAATTTTGAATATCATGATCGAATCGATCAATATGGGGATCAATCCAAACGAGAATGTAGCTTTCAAAAATGCGAAATCGCGGATGACGAAATAAAATGTGCTGTCTGTTCATTTGTGTATTGTCGTTCGATGAGAAAAACGATTCCAGTATCTTAGTAGCATGATTACTATCATCATTAGTTGCTGGTAGTATTGTACTTTGTGTATCAGGTAATGAGGTAATAAACATATTTGTGTCGGTACCTTCCATTATACAACTGTCATCAATAAAGATCACTTTATATTACAGACATTTTACAATTCTCATATTCGTGTCTCGTTCACGTTGTAAATTACAATGCTCTTTGGTTGCCGACATAAAAGTGTTTTTAGTAGTCGGTAGGTTTTATTCATACTGGAGGTTTGCTATATTACTCATCGTCTCGAAAATCGGTTCTTTTTTTTCGGCTGTGGGTGTGGGGTGAGGGTGTGGGTGTGGGTGAGGGTGTGGGTGTGGGTGTGGGTGATCTGGGTGTTGATGTTCATGTAGGTATGATGAAGAAATGAATATAAACCCACATTCATCCACACCCACACTCACCCACACCCACACTCATCCACACCCACACCCACATTCATCCACACTCTTACCCACACCCACACCCGCACCCGCACCCTATAAAAGAAACAAAAGATGTAGGTTTGTTTCTCTATCAGAATTAAATTTCCATTATGAAATGCGTAAGAATTCATCGGATAATTGAACTAAGACAACGAAAACAAATCTAACCTTTCCGTTTCTATCAGAACAAAAGCACGAGATACGAACATGGTTATTAGAAGAAAAGAGCACGAAACTAAATTATTAGATTGCTGTTTTTATAAAATGCGCCATCACTTTCTAAATAACTCAATGAAGAATGAAAAAAATAAAACAAAACTAAATTTAGATTTTTCTCAGAAAAATGACAAGCAATACTCGAATAGCCAACCAAAACAAAGAAAGAAAAGTGTTTGTTTTCATTCTGTTGCTTCTGTAAAATCTCCGGCAACTATAGCAAAAAGTAAAATAGAAAAGAAACTAAACAAGCTTTTTCTGTTTCTCTGTTGGATGTTTTTTAGAAAAATGGCTAGCAACACTCGGAATAACCGACTGAAAAAAAGTAAAAGACAAGCGTTTTTTTCATTCTATCATTTGTGTTAAATCTTCAGCAACTATCGGAGTAAGCAGAATAAAAAGAGAAGTAAAGTAAACTAGTTTTCTCCGTTTCTTTGTCAAAAGAACAGTTAAAGTATTGATGCAATTAAACGACAAGCAGCAAAGTAAACCAGCTGCCTTTTTTCTGATAAACTTAACTATCGCTACGAACATAAATAAATGATGAAAGAGAAAAATCAAACTGGACCAATCGATTCGGATAGCCTGGACAGCAACACACAACGATAAGAATAAATAGTTTGAAACAGCAAAGAAAAACACTAACTTGACGACTGAATTCTCCCAATAAAATTCTTAGTTTTGTGTCATGGGAACTAAATAAAAAAAAGAGAAAATTAGAGGGTGTGAGTGTAGATGTAGGTGTTCTTATATCTGACATTCACCTCCACACCCACCATCCACATCCATACTGCACATCCACCATCCACATCCATACTG